GCTTTAGTTTCTGTACCTGTGTGGGTTTCTGGAAGGTGTCAACAGAGCAGTGGAGTGGGGGACCCTGAGCGAGCCACATGGGAGAAGGGCTCTTGGGGACAAGCCTTGGGAGCCAGGTGTTGAGTGGCACAAGCTGATAGCTGCCACTAGGGGGCACAGTTGGGATGATCTTGGGTGTGGTCACTAGTGCCTACTCATACACAAAGATAAAAAACTTCTAAGATTGTGTGTGTATGTGGGAGTGGGAGTGTGTATGAACGGGCACATGCCATGATGCCCATGTGAAGGTCAGAGGACAGCGTTTTGGAGTCAGTTGTCTTCTACCTCTACATTCTGGAAATTGAGCTCAGGTTGCCAGCAAATGCCTTCACCCAATGAGCTGTCTCACTGACTCCTTTTTCTTCTTGTGAGACAAGGTCTTACATAGCTCAGGCTAGCCTCAAAATTGTGATCCTCTTGCATTAGCCTCTTGAGTACTAGACTTACAGGTGTGCTCCACCACACCTGATTGCACTAGGTGGTGTTTGTTTGTTTTTTCCTTCTCTTTATTGGGGATGATTGTTTTTTGCTGCTGTTTTGAGACAAGGTCTTACTTAGACTGAACTGGCCTTGAACTCAATATGTAGCCAAAGCTAACTTTGAACTTCTGACCCTCTTGCCTCTACCCTCCAAGTACTAGGATTACAGGTATGTGCTACCACACTCAGTTTATGTGGTACTGTGGATTGAACTCAGAGCCTTATACATGTTAAGCAAGCACTCTATTAAGCTATATCTCTAGTCCTTGAGTGTTTTTGCTATTGTTGTTGTTTATGTTTTGTGTTTATATTTTGAGACAGGGTCTCCTGTGGTCCAGGCTGGCCTTGAACTCACTATGTAGCCAGAAGCTTACCTTGGATTCCTGATCCTCCCATCTCCATCTCTTAAGTGCTAGGATTACAGACTTGTGTTACTGTGCCTGCCCCCCCCCCCCCCCGCCCGTGTTGTTGTTTTGATTTTGTTTTGAGACCGGGTCTCACTGTGTAGCTTCGGGCCTGCCCTGGAACTGGCTCTGTAGTCCAGGCTGTAGATCACAAAGATCTGCCTGCTTCTACTTCCTGATTAAAGATGCCTATCATCACAGCTGACAACCATTAATGGGATTTTAAGAAGAAAGTCCAAAGACACCAGGCTGGGGCTTTCTATAACCTGGTTGCAAACCTCATCTTTGTATCTTAGATTATCTGAGCTGGTCTGCAGTGGACTGCGGATCAGATGCATATCTTCCTTTAGAAGTCCATGTTCTGATATGCCCCTGTGACTACAACAGCATACCCAGTCAGTCCTGGGCAGGCTCTGATTCCTCAACCACCTTGTTACAGAATCAGAGACAGAGTCTGGGCACTGGTGGTGCACATTCAGTGTTGACTACAGCAGTGTGGAACACATGTACTTAGGTACATGTCAAGCACATGCCAACACACAGACTTGAGCACACACACTGACTGAGCTATACACATGCACACACTCAGATCACATGCAGACACAAACCCCAGGCACACCAAGAGAGATTCTGGCTGCACCTATGAGTCTCCTTCCAGTTCTTCCTCCAACTAGTGCTGATGGGGTCAGTCGTTCTCAGAGGGGTGTGGCAGCAGCACCTCCTTGCTCAACCTCTGGCTGGTCCTCCCCTCTTGCTCTAGGGGCCTGCTTCACTCTGCTGCAAACAGTTGGAGCTGGACTTCCTGTGTTCTCCAGCAGGTGACACCATCCATCCTGCTGATCAGAAGTCAGCTCAGAGAGGGTTCTGTGGTGCCTGAGCTCACACAGCAGGCCTGATATCCCACTTGGACTGTGCCAGCCTGCTTAGAACCATACTCTCGCCTTCCTTGACCTGTCAGGAGCCCCCAAATGTGTCTAAACATTTGCTCTTTACCCAGACTACTCACTCCTGCTCAGGAGGGACACCTGCTGTGAATGGGGTTCAGTCCTTACAGTCTCTGTGGAGTTGGGTGCAGTGAACCTTCCTGTACCAGAGCCAGGCATTCCAAGTCTCTTGAGCCAAAGCCCTCAATACCCAGACCCAGACTTTGGTACTCCATGGACTTGGGGCTTTGCCCTCTGCCTTCAATCTGTATCCTTTTCTGTCTTCCAGCTTCACACACTGGAGTCCAGGCTCAGCCAAGCCTCAGAAGCCACTGGGCCTTGGAAGGTCAAATGCACCTCACCAGTAGGGTACTGACCTGTGCAAGGACCTTCTGTTCAACAAGGTCTGTGTGTGCCTACATGTGTGCAAGTACCCCAGGATGCTAGAAGGGGGCGACAGATCCCCAAAGCTGGAGTTAAAAACAGTTGTGAGCTGTCAGATGTGGGTATTGGGTACTAAACTCTCCAGCCCCTCCAAATAAAAGAAGTTTTTGCGATGGGGTCTTCCTGTAGCCCCAGCTGCCCTGAAACTCACTGTGTAGACCAGGCTGGCCTCAGTTTCACAGAGATCCACGCCTGTCTCTGCCTCCCAAGTGCTGGGATTAAAGGCATGGTAACACACAGCTAATAATTCTTTAAAAAACAAAACACAAAAGACCTTCTTGACAAAAGCAAAAAACAATGGACTGGAGAGATGGCTCAGCAGTTAAGAGCACTAACTGCTCTTGATTAAAAACCTCTGGGCTAAGAGTCTAGCTCCCAATCTCCTTGAGTCTTCTTTTCTTTTTCTCTGGCTGGCCATCTGTCACTTGTCCTGGAGCTGGGATTTGTGGTGGAAAAGTTGAATCAGACTCAGGGTTAAGCACTGTACCCTCAAGACAGGCAGGTAATCTTGGTCAACTGCTGAGATTTTTAAAACAGTATTTTTCTAGGTATGGTAGTATATTCATTTAATACCAGCACTCAGGAGTCAGAGACCCTGTCTCAAAAAAAACAAAAAAATTTTTTCAATTATGAATATGTGTGTGTATCTGTATGTGGGTATGTACATGTAAGAGCTGGTGCCTGAGGAGGCCAGAGATGTCAGTTGCAGGTGCTGGAGTTATAGGTGGTTCTGAGCCACCTGATGTGGGTGCTGGGAACCAACTCTAGTCCTCAGTACTATTCACCTTGACCTGCATTGAGCTATCTCATTGGTCTGTGCTGAACCTTTTCCTTTTTTTTTTTTTTTTTTTTTTTTTTTTTTTGTTCTTTTGAGACAGGATCTCCCTGTAGCCTCAGCTGACCTGGAGCTCACTATGTAGACCAGACTGGCCTCAAACTCACAGAGATCCACCTGCCTCTGCCTCCACAAGTGCTGGGATTAAAGGCATGTGCTATCATGCCCGGCCTGGTGCTGGACTTTTTGATGCTTCTTTCTAGTCCTATAAAATGGAGCTGCTGGACAAATCCATAGCCTGGTGCAGTCGGCAGTCTGCCTAGTGAGTGTAGAGTTCAGTGTTGGAGGAGTTGCAGAGCAGTCTTCCAGTGGAGGAGATGGATATTTGGTGATGTCAAGGCAAGAAGTATCTGACTGGGGAAGCACCAAGGGCTTGTGACCCTCAAAGCCCGCTGAGGCTACTAGAGGCCCTGCTGAAGCTGTTGGTCCTGCAGTGGGCCTGGTCTCCACTCAGAGCCTGGTCTCCACTCAGCCTGGTCTCCACTCACAGCCTGGTCCTTTGCCCAGATTTTTCATCCTTTTCTCTCATATCAGTACTGAGAGGCTGAGGCCCTGTCCCAGGATGTAGAAATCTCAGGGAGCTGGGCTCTGGGAGGGCTGCAGGTCACTGCAAACAGAGCCCCCACCACTAACCAAACAAGTAGCTGATGGCCTAAGGTGGGGGGTTCTTGCCAAAGTTGGGAAGAAGCTGGGCTGGGAGGTCCAGAGCGACCCAGCCAGGTCTTGACAGAGGGGAACATCCTGAACTGGGTCAGCTTTGGAGAAGGGTGCTATAGAGCAGGTGTGAGGCAGGGAGGCAACAGGTGAGCTTCCAGGCATCTTTCTTCAGCAGCGCAGGAGGGAGGCAGGTTCCAGTTCCCACATACTCAGCCCACAGCAAGATGCATTGCAAATGGGATAGGTGAGTCCAGGGTGCCAAGCTGGTGGACAGGCCATTGTCTTGACTGTATCCTGTCAGTTTCCCACCTCAGCCAAGGTTGCTGATGCCACCACATCCAGAACCTTCTGAAGTCCTGTTTGCCTCTGTCCTCCCAGAACCCAACTCTCATGGTCTCCCTTACTTACCTACCCCCAGGGCTTTTGGGCAGGTCTCTGCCCTATATTTAGGTAGAAATTGGCAAAGAGAATGGACTGGGAGATCTTTGTCACACCCAACACCTCCTCTTCTGAGTGGCTTGTTCTGGGGAGTGGAGAGAGTAGAGGGAGAGGGAGGAGATGAAGCTTCCCTTCCGTCCCGGGGATGGGTATGGACCGTGACAGGTGTAGGTGGCTCCCAGAACACCCCTAGTCCTCCTCTGACGCTCAGCCCCACACCAGAAGTTGAGGAGGGGCTCTCATCGCTCGCCCCTGGCCTACACAGTCTGAGAAACAGGGACACCCTTCCTGCTTCCAGCCCCAGACCAGCGGCGCCCGGCAACAGGACGCGTGCACTAAGTTGTCTGAGATTCGGGTGACTATCCCGAGAGGGGCGCAGGGACTGGTGCGAAGCTGGGTGTCTTGTGCCTCTCCCCGGGGTTGTCTGGACACACACCTGGTGTCTAGGTCCAGGCAGTGTGGAGCCTCCAGAACCGGAATCCTACGGAGACACCCCAATCCCAGCGCTGGCGCGTGACCCAGACCTGTACCTCTCAGCCGGGACTCTCGCGGGGAGGAATCGGAACCCAGGTCCAAGGGTCACTCTTCCGCCCAGGTCTCCCAGCCCCGCCCCTCCTCCGTTCTGCTCCTCCAACATCCCGGTGCAGCCCCGCCCCTCAGCCGCTCCCCTGCAGCCCCACCCCGACCCCGCCCCTTCGCTGCTCTGCATCCTCCTCTCCCAACCCCGCTGCATCCCTGCCTTGCAGCCCCCGCGCGGTGGCGACCGCCTGAGCCACGTGTGTCCGCGCCCAGCGGGCGTGCGGGGGAGCGCGGCCACGCCTGGCCCGGCCACCATTTCTTGGCGCCCACCGGTGCGAGCGCGGTGTCTGCACCATGAGCGGGGACTCGGAGCGTCCCGCGGCCCCGGGGGTGGTACCTGCACCCTGCGCCTCGAAGGTGGAGCTGCGGCTTAGCTGCCGGCACCTGCTGGACCGGGACCCGCTGACCAAATCCGACCCCAGCGTGGTGCTGCTGCAGCAGGCACAGGGCCAGTGGCTGCAGGTAGGGCGGCCGGGGTGGTGGAACTGGGCACCGGAGAAAACAGAATCAAGTGTGTGCTGAGGCTTAGGGTGCCGGCAGGGGCATCCTGAATCTGGGGCTACCAGGGCCAAAGAGGGAGTGCTCTTATGGAGAAGGGCGTAGCAATTGGACGGCAGGCAGCAGGAACAGAAAGGGGCTTTGGTACAAAGTGCCCAGAAGTCAAAGTGCAGCGGAGGGTCTCAGGTTGGGGTCCTGGGGCCAGAGTGAAGCGCCCAGGCTTGAAATGCCTGCAGAGGGCTCGAATGATGGGCACAGGAGGCAGTGGGGCTCGGGAGTGGAGACACTGCCTGAGGCAGAGGTAGGGGTTGTTTAGAGACATAGGGTCCCCCTCTGTTGCTGGCAGCAACCACGAGCTTCTCGCCCATGAGGCAGAGGCACCTGAGTCAGGGTGGCCAGTGGTGTTCTGGTTGCTAAATGGACTTTGATGGTTGGGGAGAATGGAGCTTTGCTGGGCAGGGCTGGGCAGCTACCCCAGCCCCTAGATTCGGGTGGCTCTGGCTGGATGACTCCCCAGCCTGTCATCTGTGTCCCCAGCCTGTGTCCTCACCTATTGGGGAAAAATACCAAATTACCTGCATTGGCTAGGGTTGAGCACTGTACCTGGTTAGTACTCCCTGCAGACCCTGGCTGGGCACATACCTCCAGCATGGGGAGTTTCCTCTGGACATCCACAGACCCTGCAGGAGAGTGGGCTTCCCTGTGGCTGCTGGTCCATGCCCCCCCCATTTCAGCTCTGTCTCTGACAGTGCCCATGCTCTGGACTCTAAAGCACTTCCTCAGTCACTATCATGAAATACTGACTTCATCTTAAGAGTAAGAAATGGAGTCACACCTCCTTAGTGGAAAGGCCGTCAGCAGGGATGACAGAATATTGAACCCCTTAGGGCTGGAGGGAACTTGAGCTCAAGTCTCTATCCAGGCAGGAGTGCTGTCCCACCCCCCTACCCCCATCAGTTCCAATGCACCCCTTGACTGTGGCAGCTGTGTGAGGGGCAGCAGAGGAGAGGGGCTGGGGAAGAGGAGACATGAGAACACTGTGGCTGCAGTGGGAACAGCTAGGGCATCTAGGATGTGCAGAGAATGAAAGGGGCACATCACGGGGACCCACTGCTGAGGGATGGCACCTGTTCCCAGTCACTAGATCTGTACATCTCAGGATGTTTCTTAGCCTCTGGGGTTGAGAAATCTTGAGGTGCATTGACCTTGAAGACAAAGGGCCTGCCCAGAACTATGTATTTAAGCACCCCAAATGTATTTGGGGGCTGTTGTCCTTCCAGGCTATTTAAGGACCACCCGGTGCCCCAGGTCTCTCATAGCAATTTGCTGCTTGGTTGAATTCTGCCTAGTATGTATGTCCCTGGGAGGGACCCATGCAGACCTTGGGCTTTTGTGCAGGAGTCTCTGTAGTAGGGGACTTAACACCTACTAGCTGAGGCTTTTCTTTGGGGGATGAACTGGAGGGGAGTTAGTCAGGTGGGAGATGCCAGGAACCTGAGTCCTCTTAGGAGGGACTCATCATTCCTATCCCTTGGCTGCTCAGATGAATGCTAGGAAAAGGTCTCCATTTTGGGATTGTACAACCCAGGACTGAAATCTGATTCTGTCCCTGATTTCTTTGTCCTTGGGTAAGACCCTGCAGGTCTCTGAGCCTCATTTTTCTCATCTGTAATGTGGGGATAGAGAAGGCAGTGGCAGGCAAGAGGTAAGAGGATTCAGAGTAGCTGCAGCCTGTGGCTAGCTGGGGAAGGGGTGTGTCTTTATTCCAGGGAAGGAGGTGCTGAAGTTCTGTGAGTGGTCCCTCTGGGTGGGCCATAGCCCTGTAGGGCCCAGTTGATGGAAAACAGACCTGAAAGGGCACAGATGAGTGGGAAGGGAAATCACAGAAATCCAGGTCTGTGGGGGAGGGTTGTAGTGGAGATTCCAACTATGGCGTGGGCTCACCCATTGAGGCTTGTTGCAGGTGGACAGAACTGAGGTGGTGAAGAGCAGCCTGCACCCTGTGTTCTCCAAGGTCTTCACCATTGACTATTACTTCGAGGAGGTGCAGAAGCTGCGCTTCGAAGTGTTTGACACTCACGGGCCCAGTGGCCTCAGTTGCCAGGATGACGACTTCCTTGGGGGCATGGAGTGCACCTTGGGACAGGTGGGCACCCATCACCTTGGGAGGGGGGAGGGTAGGAGAAGCCTACAGAGAACAGTGATGCCTTTACTTCAGGAATTTTACAGGAACCAGCATCTAGCTCTGCCCACCTCTCACTATGCAGCTCTGGCTGATTTAGAATTCACTATGTAGACAAGGTTGGCTTCAAGCTCACGGAAGTCTGCTTGCTTCTGCTTTCCAAGTGCTGGGATTAAAGATGAGGATCACCACACCTGGCACTTTATTTGTTTTGTAATTTTTTGGTTGGGAAACAGGGTCTCATGTAACCCAGAATTTCCTGGAACGCCACATGTAACCAAGAATGACTTTGAACTTCTGATCCTCCTTCCTCCACCTCCCAACTGCTGGAATTATAGGCAAGCAACATCACAATCACACACCAATCTTTCTTTCTTTCTTTTTCTCTTTCTTTCTTTCTTTCTTTCTTTCTTTCTTTCTTTCTTTCTTTTCTTTTTGGCACGTCCTACAGCCCAGCTTGGCCTTCAACTCACTAGGTAGCCTAGGCTGACCCCACTTCTTCCTGAGCCTTCTGAGTTCTAGGACCATAGGTGTGCATCATGGCGCCTCGCTATTAGTGCCCTCTTTGATACTTCCCCTCTTTCATCTCCTGCAACCAAACACATACACTTGCATCCCATTAAAACCCTGTCTCATTATTCAACAATTTAACAAAAATTTGAGGTTGTGTTCTAGTCTAGGTACATTGCATGTTAATTCCCTTCTTTCTACATTTAAGTATTCAAGTTCAACATCCAGTACTGTCATGTATGTTGTCTAATGGAGTAGCTTTCCTTTCCTAATTCATTTTTTAAAAAATTTTATTTATTATTATTATTTATTTATTTATTTTTGGT